ATCAGTGGAACAGTCATGGAACCACTAAAAAATAGCTAATTATCATGCAAATTAGGTAATTAATATGCACGGATTTTTACCAAAAATTAATCAAATCTGCGCATATGTTCAGAGCATCTATGTACCAAGTTTCATCAAAATCCAATGAGTGGTTCTTTAGATATCAGTGGAACAGTCATAGAACAGCTAAAAATTAGCTAATTATCATGCAAAATAGGTAATTAACGAGCATGGATTTTTACCAAAACCTAATCAAATCTGCGCATTGGCCCAGAGCATCTATGCACCAAGTTTCATCAAAAACCGATGTATGGTTCTTGAGATAGCAGTGGAACAGTCGGACACACATACACACACACATACACACATACACACATACAGACACACTAACTGCAAAGACTCCCATTTTGTGTTTCGCACATGGGAGTCAAAAAAACGCAGTTCATGCAATATTAAATTATTTTTTTCTTTAACTCTTGCAGAAGAACCAAATACATTGAATATGTATGAAAGTGCTTACAAGAAGAAGTTTTGCTGCTGATGTCACTGGGAATATACCATTCCTCACGTTCTGATTGAACAATATCTCTAATTGAATCATATCACGAATCAGGATCCATCAATTGAAATGTCAATTCACACAATTTTCCACAAAAAAAGAATAATGTTTTCATGTTGTTGCTGTATTCGGTGTTTGTATATCTGATTAGCATCAATACTAAAACAGTCTCACTAAATATATCTCTAATGTATTCATTTTATGATATCGTTTGTTATTTTGTCTGAAGTACAGACCTCTGAAGTACAGACTATAACTTATCTACACAGGTTGACAAACCTATTTATCTTATCACAAATGTTTTATCTGACAATAGTTTAACACTCCAGGAAAGGAGGTTTCTATGAGGTGAATTAATATTAGTTTATTATGAAAGGAATTATCAGATACTCAAATAGAATGTTATAGATCTATGATAGTGTTGAGTACAATTAACTGTATGTGCAATATTGCTATGTACCAGTAACACTCATTCTAAGCCAGGAAAACTGTAAATTGTAATCAAAACCACACTGGACCTGACTGTCTAACAAGATGGCCAAGTTAATTTATCATCTCACTATTCTAGCATCTTTCGTGCTGTCTCCATATATTATATGTCTATATGCACACAAGCAGCCATGTTGTAGTGTACTGACTGTACTTACACCACACACACCAGTAATTGCTATACCATAGTGTATTGACTGTGCTTGCACCACATACACCAGTAATACACCACACAACAGTAATTGCTATACCATAGTGTATTGACTGTGCTTGCACAACATACACCAGTAATACACCACACACCAGTAATTGCTATACCATAGTGTATTGACTTTGCTTGGACCACACACACCAGTAATACACCACACACCAGTAATTGCCATACCATAGTGTATTGACTGTACTTGCACCACACACACCAGTAATTGCTATACCATAGTGTATTGACTTTGCTTGGACCATATACACAAGTATCTGCCATACCCAAGTGTATTGGCTGTACTTGCACCACATACACCAGTAATACACCACATACCAGTAATTGCCATACCATAGTGTATTGACTGTACTTGCACCACACACACCAGTAATTGCTATACCATAGTGTATTGACTTTGCTTGGACCACATACACAAGTATCTGCCATACCCAAGTGTATTGGCTGTACTTGCACCACATACACCAGTAATACACCACATACCAGTAATTGTTATACCATAGTGTATTGGTTGTACTTTGTACTTTTGCTGTCTCCATATATTATATGTCTATATGCACACAAGCAGCCATGTTGGAGTGTACTGACTGTACTTGCACCACACATACCAGTAATTGTTATACCAAAGTGTATTGACTGTGCTTTGAACCACACACCAGTAATACACCACGTACCAGTAATTGCCATACCATAGTGTATTGACTGTGCTTTGAATCACACACACCAGTAATACACCACATACCAGTAATTGTTATACCAAAGTGTATTGACTGTGCTTTGAACCACACACACCAGTAATACACCACGTACCAGTAATTGTTATACCAAAGTGTATTGACTGTGCTTGGACCACATACACCAGTAATACACCATGTACCAGTAATTGCCATACCATAGTGTATTGACTGTGTTTGGACCACATACACAAGTAATTGCCATACCCAAGTGTATTGGCTGTACTTGCACCACACATACCAGTAATTGTTATACCAAAGTGTATTGACTGTGCTTTGAACCACACACCAGTAATACACCACGTACCAGTAATTGTTATACCATAGTGTATTGGTTGTACTTTGTACTTTTGCTGTCTCCATATATTATATGTCTATATGCACACAAGCAGCCATGTTGGAGTGTACTGACTGTACTTGCACCACACATACCAGTAATTGTTATACCAAAGTGTATTGACTGTGCTTTGAACCACATACACCATTATACACCACATACCAGTAATTGCCATACCATAGTGTATTGACTTTGCTTGGACCACACACACCAGTAATACACCACATACCAGTAATTGCCATACCATATGTATTGACTGTGCTTGTACCACACACACCAGTAATACACCACATACCAGTAATTGCCATACCATAGTGTATTGACTGTGCTTGGACCACATACACAATACACCACATACCAGTAATTGCCATACCATAGTGTATTGACTTTGCTTGGACCACACACACCAGTAATACACCACATA